TTAAAACTAAGTATATATATTTTTAGATTAACACGACTTGTTATGACAACATCTGAAGCACAACTCTCATTTGTAAAACTATCTAAAACCATTATAAATACATAGATATATATGTATGTATGATTATTAACTTGACAACTTGGGTAAGGGACAGAGATGGCAGGGTGTGTCTAAGTGCCTACTAAAGCAGGCTTGGCAGTTTATTGTGGGAATATGTAAACACCACTCAATTATACATTCAGTTTTAGGAAGGGCATTCAAACATCAATCCTAAACTACAACTGAAAGAGGGAGCAGCTGCTCTCAACAGCCCTTAGCTAGGAAAAAGCATACACTCCTAGCTCTGCCTAACTCAGATTACTTATCTGTGCACTTGTATTATACCACCAGCAGCAGCATAGGATCAGGTATAGTTGTGATAGGTAATTTACGTTTTTTTAAAAGTACAGTATACAGAGCTGTGACAAAAAATAAAAAACAAACAATGTAAGACAAGGTTTTATGTTCATGATTCACAACCAGACAAAAAGAGGTGAAGCAATAAACTCCTACAGAAGCACCTAAATTTAACATGTATATTGGATGAAGCATGCATACAGGTTTATCTAGTTCTGCGAGATCTCCACCAGAAATTCTTTTCCAAGCCCTTGTATATCAGAGCTGCTGCACATCTTACCATTACACATTGCCATTCTTGTGGACTTTTCCACTTTTTCTCATAATTCTCTCCCAGCCATGTTAATCCTTAGTGCGGTGACACACTGACCAGCTTTGTTTTCTGGAGCCAGAGCTATCACTTTTGTTATTTTCTGGGACTGCTAGAAATCTGATCATGACCCCTGAATAAAGGAAGACTTTTGGAGGCAGGATACCCTCTGTTTCTGAAGTTCCAAGAAACAAAGTCACACTTGTAATATAGGAAGTAAAAATATTTCTTTGCAGGTGTTTTTAAGGTTGTGTACCAGTAGTCTTATATATAGTACACAGAAAGAATGAAGTTGGCTGCAAATGGAAATTTCTACTTGACAACTCCCTGGTCTGCAAAAAGAGTAACAGAAATGGAAGAGGCAACAACATATGAGGGGAGAGGGGAGAAAGGGGGGGGGGGAGGGGGGAAAGGCAGATAGATAATAGAGCTATTAACTCTCAAGAAGACATCAGACATATCCTGTTGAAGGCAAGAAAACTTCACTGTGGTTTTTCAAATAATTGACAAGAAGGTTTTCATTTCTTCATGATCTACCTTCTCAGAATAAGTGGGAAAAAATGGCAGCTTTTATACTAAATCTTTTTCAGCTATGGCCTAAGAACAGATCAAGAGGTAATCTCAATATCAGACAAAAAAGAGTAGTAATTTCCATAACTGGTATTTCACAAAATGCAACCTGGCTTCAAATGTGTGGAAGAACCTAATATTTGAAAAATCTAAGAGGTCTGTACAACTGCCACCAGACAACACACTTCCAACTAAACCCATACTATATAATATGAACAATTTACAATCCAATACAATATCTTGAAACTTCTTTCTACTTTCAGTTATCACTGATCATTGTATCCCCCCCTCAAAAAATGAGCCTCTTTATGGAGAAGAGAGATGCTAATTTCATTATCACCTTGCCAACAATTTAAGTCACGATTTTAATGATCTTCAACAATCTGCTAGTGAACCAACTATGAATCTGACTAAATTTATAACAAGCAATATAGGAAATATTTTTAAAATGTTATAAGGATCTGTTTTGGAACAGGAAATGATCAACTTATGAATGTCAGCAAATAATACTCTCGTTAATGTTTTTCATAATGAAAGACAAAAGAAAACATGCTATCACGGTAGAAGAGTGTTTTTAAGTTACATAGCCATAAGGCTGAAGGATCAAGCATCAGAATTTCTTCCAACAAAAATCAATGAAGTATTTCACTTGCATGCTCCTAGGTTGACCCAACTGTCACGAGAGGGCAGTATATTCTGAGTTTTGTCAAATCTTTTACATATGTAGATATTATATGGAGATATGTTGGAAGGTCCGTGGGTGGTCATGAATGTTCTGTACTTCTCAGGACCTGGTATACTAAATGGTACCCATTTCATTGTATTCTTCATGTCACCAATCACCTTTTATTTTCACTGGACATTTTAAAATGTCTTGCATATATAGTTTAATAAAATGTGGCCTTGATTCTGATATAAATATCATACTAGTAACAGCTCTTTATTGTTTGATTGATCAACTCTTGTTTCACTGATTAGAAGTTGCCTGTATTACATAGGTTTGTCTTAGATTTGTTCCACTAAACCCAGGCTATAACAGCTTCTCTTACTCTGTGCTCTTATTCAGTGCTTGATGCCACCTCATCAGCCTCTTAAAAGTTCTCCTCCTTCTAATCAAAGCCCTAGATGCACTTTAGCAGCTAACCTGGGTGATTACAGGCATTGCTGTTGTAATTTACTAAATTATAAATGCTTTTTCTTAGTCATCAGTTTCAATTGTGTAAAGTTGCCCAACTGTAATGGAAGTTGCATGCAGAAATATTGTTGAAAATTTAATTTGCATGCAAATCTGCCCACTTGTTATCCTTTATTGTGAAGTGTTAATGTAGTCATACAGTGCTGCACTCAGATTACCACGATTTTCAACCAGGCACTCTGACTATGACCACCTGAATGTACCATCCTACATCACTTACAGATGTGTGCTTGCACATGAATATATTAAAAAGTACACATTTTTGTGTATATGCTCTTACATTTAGTACAGCCCACAGTAACTAGAAAATTATTTTAAACTATTGCAGTTATATATGTGCAAAAAGTAAAATCCATGCTTTAATTATTAACTTTTTAATATAAATACCTTTCAGTTCTTTGGCCTTCCTTCCCTTTATTGCTCTCAGTCAAAAAAAAGAAAAAAAAAAATCTCTGGCTAAACTTTTCAGTGAGGTTTATCCTGAGGCTTTACACCTGTCTGTTGTCAGGGGTCTTGCCCTGGCCTTCTCTTAATCCTTCTTCATTCACATGGACATGCACACTTATAGAAACGCAGCTGGCACATAGTACAAAACTTACTACTTCAGATGCCATCAGCAAGTGCCTGTCATTATCACCTACCACGTGTCTTCTCTGATTTATTGTATTTAAGAAGTTGTAGCTGTAGATAATTAAAGAGTACCATTCTAATTAGATGAATAATCAAATTACAGTTCGTGTTTCGCTAGAAAAGTGTAAGTCTTTTTCCTCTTCACTTCTTATGCTTTACACAACACAATTGCTGATTCTTTTAATTCCAGACTCTACACTTGCAACAGTCTGGGTCTAATTTCATTCATATTTTTAATGTAGTACCTGTAAACAGTACAGATGTGTTCCAAGAAAATAATTTAAAATGTACCAGTGCTTATGCAAGAGTAAAGAAAACTCTCAGATTCAGGCAACTCTATGTGTGCTTTTGGAAAGTATTTGTCTTCCATTTTTACTAATACAAATGCACACAAGACATGCATTCCAAACTCAGGCATCCTGGTAGTGTAGAAAGTGCACACTGATCTCCTGTACATGGACATTCACTACAGTAATTTCTTTCAACACCTGACTGAAAAAAGCACAAGCTAGAAAAAAAATCACACGCTTCAAAAGTTTAGTGTCTCTTTATGTGTGTTTTGAATCTAATGAGTTAGTGCTCCCAATGCATTATGACTTCCCACTGGACGCTCTGCAGAATTTGCACACATACTCTTTCCAGACACCAAACAATACTGTTTTCTTTATAGGGAAAATATACCCATCACCGTGAACAAGAACTGCATGATGAAATGAAGGACAATCCAGAGACATGTTTCAGAAAGAACAGAAGCTTAGACCCAAGATCTATTAACTCAATGGAAAGGAAAACACCTGTTTTAATGAACCAACATAAATATTGCAAACGTTTCATACCTTTTTGAAAGCTGAATAGCAAGAAGGGAAGCAGGGTCATTGCTAACAAAATACATGCACCAATTCTTGAACTGTGGGGTAGAAAAGTGTTTATATGGTTCATTAGCTATTGTTATAAAAATAAGGAATTGTTAATATTTCAGTTACATATAAGAGAAAGACCTTTTCAGAAACTATTTGTACTTTCCTGATTTTCTTGGAATTACAAAGATGTAACAAAGAACTTAAATATGTTTTGGGCTGTTGAGATATTTTTTTTATGTTTACCAAGAAAAATTACAGGTTCATTCATTAAGTCATAGGATACAAGAGACTGGAAATGGAATAGGTCACAAAAGGTCAAGTATTATTCTTATATATAACTCAGGCATTGTCCCTGGAGTAGCCCTGAATGATATGTGAAACAGTCCAGTAATGAGTGTTATCACTTCATTTGGCATTCTTATTTGAAATTCCCTTCAAAGCCTGTGTTGAAATAGCCCAAAATGTCTTCAAAATATTTTATTACTACTATAATAAGCAATTTCAGAACAAAAGAAAATTGTATTTTTCTTTCTGATAAGTTTGTACTAATTGAGATACAGAAATAAATTTCAGAGTGCTAGAGAAGAGAAAAATCAGTAAATATTTCAGCTTCCATAAAGAGATGCAAGGCAAGACATTTAAATTTTACAACTCAGACTTACAGTTAACAGTGTTTGTAAAACTGAAGAAACACACTACCAGTCTGTTTTTTTAAAGTACTTATTTAATTGAATGCACACACTGTGAAAAACCTTCAAAGAAATTAAAGATTACAAACTTCACTTTTCTCCTAGTTCTCACTTTATGGCAAATTCCACTGATAAAAGGAAAATCATATTTACTGTTCTTACATACCTGACCTCCAACTACATTTACAACACAACTTTGGTTGCAGAAATACAACTGATCAAAGACTAACACATTGTTCTCTCAGGCTCTTGTAATACTATTCATTTTAAAGTACTTACTCAAAACAACAACATAAATCCCCAGTGCATCATTATGTCATGCATTAAGTTCACTTACTCAGAGAAGTTATTCCACATCTTCCCTGCTTCCAGGCAGAGGTCACTTCTATCAAAGGCAAGAGCAGCACAGTTTACAGGTCTTGAGTATACTATGGGACAAAGATAGAAATATGAACGTGTAAATTTACTTCAACTCCTTTGAACGCTGCAAAAAATATAGCTATATTCAATAAGCTTAAAATAACTGATAAATTATTAGAAGAGAGATGAAAGAATACCTTTCAGTTGCAATTTTCACAAACTAGCTAAGTGGAGCCACTCCTACTTTACATCAGGTGAGTTGGTCTTCAAATATTTTAATTATTTACAGGTGAAACTTTCTCAGCCAGACTGAGTCCAGGTGCAGTTGTTAAGTACAGGCTATACCATACTGTGTATGTGGTCTGTACTAGATTTTTGATGTTGACTCTTTTTTTTTTTTTCCAGACCCCTTTTAAGGAAAAAATTAGCACTGCACTGTTCTTCCTACTTAACAAGTCTTTACTTTTACTGATTCTAGAATTAAGTATTTTCAAAGGTCTGAAATGACATACTAACAGTTTGTTCACAGAATGTCACCAAGCAGCAAAACCAGAAATTAAAAAATGCTTTATTTTGTTAGCACCTACTTTAAAAGATTTTAAAAATCCCTCAAAATGCCTCTTCAGTAAACTACAATTTAGGATTTGCCTTATTTAAACATTTTCCCATATAACACTAATCCACATAAAAGCCATCTACAGAAAACAGAATACACACACGTTATATACAGCTCCAGCATACCTTAGGATTTAATGTTAGTGGGAACTCTACATAAAGAAAGATACCTCCTCAGTCCTTTCCCTCAACTTGAATAAAATCCCCATGCCTTCCTTCCAGAGCAGAGTTCTCAAGATGTATCTGCTGTTATAACACAGCAGTAATTGCCAAGCACCTTCAATCTAGGGTTCAAGCAAAATGATTCTGAGCAGCCACATCCCTTCTCAGGGTGTTAGCATCTGCCAGCCTCTTCTATTTTCTTCCTATACATTTTATCTGTGCTTTTATCTTTTCCTCCCTTTATTTTGCTTTATCTATTTTCGACAATAGTGACTAGCACAGTATAACAGCATTATATAAGCTTTTTACAGGGCCATGTTTTGCTTTACAGAGTGAGCATAAATGAGGAAACACTAAGTTAAACTCTGACAGCCAATGCTGGATGTATCAGCTTGGCCTATAAATAAGCACTGATCACCTCCATTTTATTGAACTCATTTTCCAGGCAAGCAAAGACCACAAGATTCCTCTGCAAATTTTCCCTTTACACTCTCCAGCAGTGCTGCTAGTGTCAGCTGCGACAGATTTATAGCCTATTCATTCAGGGGAACAAAAACCCTGCCAGGGCTGGTCATGCAACACGCAGTAGCAGTTAGTTCAGAAGATAACAGCTGCAATACCTCACTTCCTTATTCAGCACTCTATAGCATACACTACTTTGGAGATAATAAATGCTTCTTGTTTGTATTTCTTGAGTAATATCAGAGGAAAGGGTCTGCATTACAACAGTATGAAGTACCACTGCAACACAGGGGGATTAATCAGTGTTTTTATTGTATTTATTCCTTCTCTGGCTTTATGGTTTTATAACTGACATAAAAAAGTTACTCCAGACTGTTTTTATATACTCTCGCTTCCATAGATAGTCAAATATTTAAATTTTTAATTGAGTGCCCATTTAATTTAAAAGGTTATTTGGAATTATTTTGAATTCCAAAGTTTTACAATATGTAGTGCTTTAATAACAAGAGATGCTCACTGTCAGGATTAACCAATTATTTTCCCTTACACTCAAAGTCAAAAGATGTACATAAACTACAGATTATAAAATTACCTGATTCCCATCACTATTTTGAAAAAGCAAACTAAAACGTGTAATAGTTTTGTAAATATTCTTTAATTGCAGTAGGATGCAGTACCACAGAGAAGATGTCAGACTAAGATCAACCCTGCTCTTTTTGGAGGTGCTGCTCACAGCTATCAATTTTGGAAGAGATGCTCTTACATTTGGGTTATATGCTGAATTTTTAAGCAATGCACTGTTGCCTCATTGCAGACAATCTAAACCTTCAACCTCTTATCAAATGTGTCTGCTGGAACTATACTTCCTGCTCTTCTGCAGCAACCCACTCTTTCTCCCATTGAAAATACATCATAATATTACACCAAGCTCTAGTCACAGCCAATATGGGCTAAGATCAAGACCTCCTTATGTGCAACTAATGCATACTTTCATGGTCCCTTTGAGGGAGATACTTCATTGACACAAAAACCAAAATGAACTATTACCAACTTGTGATGTTCATCTTTTTTCAACTCTCTCTACCGCAAAATAATGTCTAAATAAAGTCCCAAAATGAACTTTTAACTATGTTAAAATCAAATTTTTTTCTAAGTATTTCTTAGGTTTTTTCAGCCTTGAGCATAATATTCACCTCTTACAGCTGCTCAGGAGATCAGAACTTCTAATCTCAGAGAGAATTTTGCATCCTCAATCTTTGAGAAACACACTGCCCAAAACTAAGTATACATTTTTTTTTGTGCTTTCACCAGAAGAAAATGCATAGCAATTTCTACAATAGTCATCCAGACCACAGATATTTAGCATCTTGAATTTCTTATGAGCTTTTACTGGAATCATAATCCACTGTCCCAAGTTATAGCTAAAAAGTCACTTTTTAGTTTGATACCTATACCGTGGCATATAGAAGAGCAGATTTACTGTAAAGGTGAAAAATATGGGAATAATCAAAACCCATACTCTAAAATAAACCATTAGTTGGTCTAATTAGGAAATTCACCTCATTTTACAAATCTTGTCTCCCTTAGCAGAGCAGAATATACAACCAAAGGACTGGGCTAGAATCCTGTCTGCAGCACTTGAGACTCCCAACTGCAAATATAAATGCTTAGGAACAGAAAGATGCTTAGACCAAAACAGCAATATAACCCACCAAAAGCACCTCTGTGTAACCTCTTCAAAGTCAAATACTTGATCTAATGTGCCCAGATAGACTCCAAGATTTAACTTTGAATCTTCTTGTTTCAGTCACTTTCAGTCTATTGGATGTACAGAAAATATGAGATTTGTTACTGTAATTACAGTCTCTGCTAATCAATCAGGTTTTATTGTGTGGCTTCTGGCTCAGCTCATAATACTGGAAAGAAGCTACAGCAGCAGTTTAAAATTTTGCCAATTTAATAATCATTGCTAATTGGAAGTAGCTTGCTGGGAGGGGAAAGGAAAAAAAAAAACAAAAAAAAAAACCCAACCAAACACCAGCAAACAACCCAAAACCCACCACCAGTACTGAGGTTTACAGTATCTGAGATATTCCTAGTGTGTGTGGAGGAAAGGGAAGGGGAAAAGATTTTCTGCACTGAAAGTGGGGGAAGAGTGTAAGAAACTAACCACTGAAATGATTCATCCTTGCATTGTCCTATACTGGCAATATAAATCTAAATATATATACATATTTAATTGTACAATATTTATAAAGAAGCATTTATGAAGCAGCTCTATTTTATCTGCTGAAAATTAGCCACCCCCTGCTGTAAAAACTGGATTTTTCCCACTCAACATAGAAATACATTCGTTCTTATAATTGTTCTTTTCTTTCAAATCACCTAATATAACAAATGCTAAAAGACATTATAGTTCATATGCTAAGCAGTCTCTCCATGAGTTGAGGCTTCAATGCTTTAATGGGGAAATTTCCTGATTTAAGCAAATCATGTCACCTCCACCCAAGTAATCATATTTGTTGCAGACTTCTGCTGACCTCATCTCTATAGTAAAAACAAAAACACATTTACATTTTCAGCTTGAGATATTTGGTTCAAATGGTTTACAAATATATTGTAATGAAAACTAATTTTAGCCTACTCCAAAGATACTATTTAAGGTCTCTGTTGATAGTGTTTACAGATACACAATTATTGGTTACTATCATTTAAATAGAGACAGCATGTTTTTGCTGAAAGGAAGCAAGCAACTTGTGAGATCATTTCTGTATAGGTTACTACATTTTGAAAATGTTACTTTAATGGAAAATAATTGAAAAGCTAAAAATCTAAACAAAAGCTAAACATACATATTTTCTATGATAAGAGGTTGTAATGGTTTTTAGTATGTATTGTTTTCCCCTCTGCTTCACACCAGAAATCCTTTTGGAAGTGACTTCCCACAGCATTATCTGTATCACAACTTTTCCATGTGAAATGTTTCAAAAAATGCTAGTTTACCAGTCTTGTGAAATTTAAAGCATGTTTTAAATAAAAAATTTGTCTTACCCTAGTTATTGCCACATGCATGAGAGAAAGCAATACTGCCATTACAAGAGCAAAGGTTAGAATTTCACATGGAAGACAGTACAGAATTACAATGTCAATACATATTGCCTTCCAGACTATCAGCCTCACAAGTTGCCTTTTCAGTTAAAATTAATTTATTCATCATTCTTACTTTTCACTTGGTCATGGATTTTCCAGTATGCAAACACAATTTCTAACCTATATTATTCCATCTGAAGCTCTGATGCAAAGAGAAATAAGGAAGGTGGGGGCAGGCGGAAGAAATCTATGGAACTTACTAGAAATTACAACTTTCTTGAATGATTCTAATTTACTGTGTGTAATACAAATTCCAAAGACATGAGGCCATAGGAACCATCCAATCATCTAACCTGATCTGACAGAGCATAGATCAAAAAGCTTCATTCAGCTACTTCCATAACAAGAGTACACTCAGTAATAGAAAAATCTTAATCCTGTACTGTGAAACTCATTTTGAAAAGCTACAGAGCTTTATTAAAACTTGTGTACATCTGTAGTACTTTACAGTTCTTTACAGATCCTAATAATTTCAATTTTATTTTTTTTAAGCTGAAATGGATTTGGATGTAATAAACAGAATATGGTTTTAAGTACAAATAGATTGAAATTCTTTGCTTTGAATTTATAGTCTCCATTTAATTTCCAATTTGAGGTACAAAGTTAAGATTGAGAAAATCAGACGTGGTTTCTCTCAATATATAAGCCAATTGAGACTCACAGACCCACTGGCTTTTTT